AGAGAGAGAGAGAGAGAGAGAGAGAGAGAGAGAGAGAGAGAGAGCGAATCCTTGGTTTGGGCAATGATCCACTCACAGCAAGACACTACAAAATAGTCAGAGCACAAAATCACCACCTGACCATTTCTGGCAAAAGTTGTCATTTCCCTCCCTCAGACACGAACACTGACTCACAGGACCACAAAGACAATCGAAAGGAGCCCTTAAAATGCAGTGTGCACGCAGCTACAAGTAAAGCAGCTATTTCACATTTATCAGGAAGGAAGTCACCAGTCTCTGAAGCAATGCTGTTTTTTTTTTTCTTTAAATGCTAAATATGGAAGCTGGGTCAGTTTTCTCTCACTTGAGACTTTTACAGGGGCAGGATATTAATTGTCCCAGGCACTTAACAATACACGTATGCGACCAAAAGCCATAACCTGAGGCTTACTGTCAAAATAAAACTACGTGTGCTGTCTGTGCGATTTTCTCATACTTGAGTAGATGATCCTTGGTGCTGCGCGTCTTTGTGAGGAATCTTTCACCCAGCTTCTCCAGGTTGCGGCTGTAGTCCATCTCAATTTCTGCCTTCTTTCGAAAGAAGTCCTGCAGGTCCTGAAGCAGCTGCACCCTCAGCTCGCACTGCTGGTCCAAACACTTGAGCTGCTCCACCAGCTGAGCACGGACCTCTGAAAGGGTAAAAGGAAGGAGTAGAGTCAGAGATGACGTTAGCTTTTTGGTTGACATAGCCATGGGCCAGGTGAAATCAACACACGAATCGATGTTTAATGTGCAATCGGTCTTTGCTAAAAATCAAAGGCCTTTTCATATGTTGCTGTTGGCTATACACCACTACCATTAACACACATTTCACAACGATGTGTAAGATGTTAAAACAACCCCTTTACAGCTGACTGAATGACTGGATGTTCCAGTAAAACACCTGGCACTGTGTTGGCTTGGCTGAACTCCATTCCCCTCCCACCCGTCCGCAATGCACAGACGGCTAAGCGTGCGTGCGCATCATCATATTTATAAGTGTGCATCTGTGAGTGCGGGATCAGATATCATCTTCCACACAGACATATCTCCAGAGGCAGTCATTTATCCCAGCTTATCACTTTTCATTTTCCTCCTGCCTCCTCCCTCATCGCTCCTCCATGCTGCTCTCCAGTCTGGCCCTCAAATTAATAGAGTGCACTCAGTGCAGGCACATTCAGTAACCGTATTCAATCACGGGCCGCAAAAAAGTTCTCTGGAGAATCCTGCTCATTGCAGCTACAGAACAGGAGACACAAATCATACACAGCAGCACTTCTGCACAGCCAAGGACACACACACACACACACACACACACACACACACACACACACACACACACACACACACACAGAGGTGATAAGCTGGATCAGTCCTGACAGCTGACAGATTAATGCTACGCTCCCATAGCTTCCTGCCAATGCCGAGCAGTCTGCATCCCTTAAACGAGTTAGGAAACAACACACGCATTTCTCTAATTGTCATCATGGCTAATCTACCACAGCTGTCATACCTCTACAACGCTGGCTGTACAGAAAGCGGATGGTTTTGGTCTCCATCCTGGCTTCAGTGATGTATGGATTCCCTTCAACAATATTCACACACTCAGACACACACATACAGACACACACGCGCAGTCATGCAGTCAGCTGCCTGTCCAGCCAGCAGCGACTGTTGATGCTGCCTTTGTGTTTAACAGCTGAGAGTGCAGTTTCTCATTACCACAAAGAGAAGTGGGATCTCTAAATGTGTCTGTGAGCGCCCCACTCCTCCCACTTCTCTCTCTCTCTCTCTCGCTCTGTCTCATAAACACATACCTAAACACTGTGCCACCAGCCAGCGGCCACTGTCGTTCTTTACCGATTCAAAAACCAGAGTTAGGGAGTTTTAAGACACTGTGGGCAGGGGGGCAAAGGAATGCACACACCGAGCCTGTGTCAGTGCTAATGACCTGGTGTGAACATTTGCTTTCACAACATGTGTTTTTGTCTCGCCGGCTGCATACGTGCGTGTTTGTGTGCAATTTTCTCGTTGCACGACATTGTCAATGATCCAGAGTGAGTCAATGTCCCACCCCTTAAGGCTGTGACACAAAACCTTGTAATTAGCCCATCCACGACGACAACACACAACACCTCCAACAAAAACAAACCTGTCCATCCATAAGGAACGTAAGAAGGTGACAGAAAGCATATGGTTATCAGCCTGGAAACAGCTTGAGGGGTGGAGGATATGTACAGGAGGGAATGAAAAAAAAAAAAAAAGCAACAGGTGAGTCCCATGTGATCCAAATGTTTAGAAAGCAGATTTAATGGGGGGAAATTAATTTAATAGGGAGGCCGTGCCCTGAGCCCTGAAACCCCTCTCAGGCCCCTTACATTTACATTAGGATGAAGAGCGAGTTTGACGGCATGCTTCATTTATAAAATATATGGCTGCGTTACATGAGCTCTCCCCACTAAACCCTATTGGTACTGGCTGCTCGACACAATTTCCTTAAGGGGATGTAAAAAGCACAGACGGGTGACAAATTAAAGGAAAAATCCACCATAAAGTCTCATCACATGTGAGCAGAACTGCTTCGTTGAGCTTTGATATTCATTCTCCAAGCCCCTGAAACTCTACTGCAGGGTTATAAAGCCATCCTGTACTGGGGGAGGGGGGCACTGTAAAATATGCCTATAGAAAATATCCCATCAGTGTTCAGCTTCATAGGGCACAAAAGACATTACGTGTAAGTGAGAGCATTTTCATACCAGTCACTGACCTCTCATGCCGCGTAGTTAAAGTAATCACTCAGATGTGTCAATACAAAGGGTCAAGTGGTCCCAAACCATGTCAGCATGACTGATAGGGGATAAAACATGCGGGCTGCCTTTTCATTCGATTTGCCACCACTATGCATTTCTGTCTTTAACCATATAAATACCGTTACGACCAAAAGAAGCCGTTTGCTTAGTGAAAGGGAGTTTGCTACAACAAAAAGGAGAGGCAGCAAGTCAAATAGATTCAGCACAGGTCTTCCCTTCGGTTTCATCCCTCTGCAATGACTATCATCCCCCAGCAAGTAAGAAATGGGATGTGAAGTGGGATGTGAACTGGAATGTGACGCCTCCACCCCCTCCAGACAGTCCAGTCACATTTTCCAGGCAGATGAGAGCAGGTCTTGTAATCAGGCTCTGGGATTCTACTTTACTGATGCTCTTCTCCCTGTTTTTCTTCCCTCTCTCCCCTCCGCCTCCTCTGTCTGTAGTGCTGAAGGCTGTCTGGCTCTGTTTGCACGAGCCTCGTCCATACGCTTTTCAGTCTGTTCGCCCGTCCAGCCACACTCACAAACAGGATCAGTTTGGAAAAGGCAGAGATGACTGCTACCTTTGAAGCAGCTAATCCTCTCTTTGGTTTCTATTAACATACATAGTGTATTTGTCTCCCAATAGAATATAGTCACACTACTGCATTTTTCTTTTTTCAGGATCAGTCTTTATTATTCATTTATCTCTTTGACTCTCTCCAGACATAGCAGCCACTTGTTGGTGTGTTTGGGCAAGTTAGACGGTTGTGTATAAATGATATCAGGGCAAATCATATGCCTGGAAGATTAGTGAGCTCACAAAGTAGCAGTGAAATCTGAGGAGTTCAATGTCTTTTTCCCATTTAGATTATTCCACCTACACCCACGTCTCCCTATGGTACATCAGAGCTTATGATACATCATCATAGAAAAAGGAAGACGGCAAAAATAGATGATGGATGAAGACAGAATACTCTGAGTAAGGTGGCCCTTCATTGGACTAAGAGTGCAGGCAGCTTGTCTGTGTTGCCTCAACTCAAACCTGAGACAGATGTGTCGCTGCATATTAATGCGTGGATGGCCACTGAGGAGGAAATTAAAGTAGAAAAAAAAGGCATTACAACCATCGACCTGAAGTTCACAGTACATAGACAACCACAGCGTGAAGGCTAAACATAGCTTTCCCCCATCATTTCCTTTGCTTAGAGTTATTTCTGCAGCAAATTTCCCACCAGCTTAACGCCGTTTTGTTTTGTAACTGACAAAAGTGATGGTTGCCCTGGATGCCATTGTGTACTGGCCTACATACAGAAGCTGCACATAATGCTACAAGGACTCATTATACCTGAAAACACCCTGGGCTATGGGCACACACACTCACACACTCACGCACACACACAGCAATGTGACACTCTGAGTCCAAGTTGTCACTTTGAGCTGTTTTGACAGCAGCTTTCAAGCCTGCTCCTGGAAGCCCCGCCCTAGTTCTGTCCCCCTCCGTTACTATATTATTATTTCAGCCACACACACACACACACACACACGCACACACACACACACACACGCACGCACGACAACTGTTTACAAGTATGTGATGAGTGTTTGAGACAAGGCTTGAAGTGGCTGGAGAAGGAGTGTGACAGAGAGTACAGACAACAGAGGAATGACAAACTACGACAGTCCACACAGTTGTGTTGATTTACAGGGTGCAGTAAAGTTCTGGTTTACAGCTCCTATTACTTTTGGTAACCACGTTCTATGTGTGCTCAAGTATGGAAATTCCCATTTCCTTTCTCTGCAGACATTATTTATGTGACATTATTTTGTTGGAGCAAAATAATGCAAGGTGAGAAATATGTTAATATAGAGTAGAAAACCTGGCTGTATAAATCAGGATTATCTCTCTGCAAGCTCTGGGCCTACAAACTGTGGGCCAGGTAATCAGTAATCACAGCAGGAACACAAGAACACACTCACACAGTACAGTTAACTAGGACTAAGAAATCCAAGTCAAACATTAGGAGATGTAGCTCCCAGCAAAGTACAATATTACCCATTCTTCTCGCTACGTTTGTGTTTATGCAGTAAGGCCTGGTCTTTGTTGCTCTGGGGACTGATACTGCAGCACAGGCTACGGAGAAGCTTATAAAAGAGGAGGGGAAGCAGAAGGGGGGTGGTAGTGGTTTTGTACCACTGTGAGCTCATACCATTGTCCTGACAAGAATGAAAGAAGCAGAGAGAAAAGAAGAGAGAGGGGGACGAAAAAGCACAAAGTAGTGTAAAGGGTGAGTAAGAGGGCGGGCACTGCGTCAGTGTGAATAATATGACCATTCATCCCATACACACAGGAAGACAGGACACAGTTGACAGGAAGTCAGCTGGACCAGTTCATTACCAGCAGGGAGCAACACGAGAGGGGAGGGTTATACTAAAACAACTACAGGAAGCATATGTGTGTGTACGTGTGTGTAAGAGGGAGTGTAGGGGTTGGACTGATGTGTGTGTGTACTGTGCTTTTCTCAGACTAAAAGGCCCTGAAGAAAAACAGGCAGCTGTGGAGTTCACCAGTATAACCCACCAACCCTGAACCAGGCAACCAAAGAGAGAAGATGGACTGAGGGAGAGAAGATGGGCCAGGGGCTTACAGGTTGAAGGCAGTCAAAAGTGTGTGAGTGAGAGTGAAACAGAGACACGATGTTTAGGCCGCTGAATGAGTAGGTAGACTAAAGCCTCAAGTTGCAGGTAGTATTTCCTAATAAGATTCTTCAGCAGGGTGGACTCTATTAGTTCCAGACATGTCAAACTAATACTGCTTTAGTGTATATACACACACACACACACACGTACGTACACACACTTGTGGAGAGGGGAGGAAAGGATAGAGTTACAGTACAGTAAGTGTTGGAGGGAAAGCTATTGCAGGAATGGAAAGATTCCAGCCAATGCCTTTTTCTTGGGTCTGGACATTTCCTCCAAAAACAAACACACACACACTCACTCTTTCTCTCTGCGTCTCACTCTCTGTCACACACACACATGCATACATTAAAAGTTATAGAGGCATTTCCTCTCTCACCCAGACCCTAAAACTTTTAGGAAAAGTAGTGTCGTCTTAAGAAGGCAAGTTAACAAGCTTCGCGACTTGTAGACATGGAAAACCATCCCGAAGCCAAACCGCTGCAAATGTACTGTTCAGCAGAGGAGAGGAGGGACCGACAGCGAGTTCGACGGCAGAGAAATAAACGCTGGGCTATGGTCGGGCATAAACGAATAAAGGGCATAAAACATCAACGTTTACCGGTGTCACTATGGTACTTTATTAGTTTCCCTTTTCAACTAACGTCATAATGCTAGTGAATATATAGTGATACTTTCGGGAAGGCGAGGATGCAAGCTCCTGACCTTTCTCACACGCACACACACTTTCATATAGCAAAGCAGCATTAAAGCTTGATTGCTTGGCAGGCAGGGTTATCATTTTCTTAGAAATCCAAAACACGAGTGCACGTGTGTCTGCATTCGAACAAACTCAAGCAGTGATTGGCCCCACGTCCGGACAGCTATGGGGGAGTAGCTGTTCATATTGTGCTTATTGCTTATCTGAAGTCTGGAGAACATGTGCATAGTTGCCGCATTATAGCAGAGTGACATCTGCACAGAGCCTCTTGCCGACTCTTTTGATGACCAAATTTACGTCACTCTGACCCAGGCGATAATTAAACACTGCCGTCAGAGAGGCCTTATTTATTTCACAATTGCAAAGAAAGTATTTTGGATCTCCAGCAACACTTAATAGATTTCTTCATTCTTCATCTCCACCAACCTACTCTACCTCTGCTCTCGCTGTAGCAAAGTAGAATATTACAAAAAAATGTTTAACATTATATTAAATCTAAGGGTGCTTTTCATAAAGCCTCTACCCTGGAAGCAAGGAAACAGCCTCTAAGGCATGGCTGAGCGCTAACAGGATTTGTATATCAGCAACTCACTAATCAATAGGCAATCTTACTCTTCATTTATACGATCTACAAAAGACCCAAAGGGGGCAAATGATGTATTATGTGTGTGCTGATGCGGTGACTTCTTCTAGGTTTCCTATATTAACTTTCCCATCCAGCTCTCAGCAATAAAGGGGGGAAAGCATGCTTCTCTCAGTGACCCAGATATACTACATCAGAAGATTAGACATCAAATGGGAGCTTTTAAGTATCAAAGTGACCGAATGCTAAAATAAGACAAAAGCACTTCTGAAAAAACTACTAGTCATACCATGATATTGGAGATACGCTTCCCCTCCCCACTGAGTTTTGCTTGGTAACTGTTACTCTTTGTCCATGATGCCCTCTTTGGTGGTGGTTGCGAGGGAGCAGGGAGAGGGGGAGGCAGTGTGAGAGAAACATGAAAAAGAGGTGACGGGGAGGAAGAGGGGGGGTGTTTTTGCAGGGGGTTTAGTACTCAGCGGGGGTAAATTCCACGGCACTGCTCCACACCTCTGTGGTCAGATCAGGAAGTCGTTAACCCTTTACGTGACAGTAGGATGCTTTATGTCCAACTGTAGGAAAGACAGAGGACGTTTCTATGATCGATTACATTTTTTGTGGCCATGCAAGCTACCGTCAGGGTTCCTTGCACTCTGTGAGCAAAGAGCACAGGTCAAGGGTCAGGGGTCTGCAAAGTTACTGGAGGGGGTCAGTCTCCCATGTCAACCAGCTGGTTACAACTATCGGTTTCAGCTCCAAAGAACGCTCAGCTTGTTTCTAAGTGTTCCTGCAGAGTCTATTCTTTTACCAGATCGTTACTTCTTTTTGCAGCCATGCTTTCCAGGAGTATGTTCTACTTCTTTGCATTTACCTCTCCTGACACCCATATCTCTTTCTAGCCATCGCGTGCACAGCACACAAGCATTTGTGTGGTGGCAGACAGAATGTGGGGTTAAAGACTGGGGGCTGGGGGTTTCTACGCATAATAAAAAAGGCTGCTTATCAAAAGTTAACTAGCTTCTTTCGCTCCCTTTCAGGCACCGCCTGCTCCACTAACCCAGTCGAGAAAGGCACTGGGGGAGGGGGGAGGTCCCACACACGCGGGAACTGGAGGGAAGCAATTCTGGTAAAGAAGCGAATAACGATTATCTTCCAGTTTAGTTTAAAATGCTATTGAAGTGTAGGTACTGGACTCTGACTTCACAGACAACCTAATCAGCAATCAGATATCCAGAGTCTGTGATCAACTTCTCGGTTCAACCGAGATGAGCGGCACTAAATGAGATCACACGTTATCCTATAATTTAGCAACTCACAAGATTTGAAACTGACCATCTTGAATTCTTGGCCTCAAGGCTAATTTCAGTGTCCTTTCTGTGTGTATGTGTGTTTGTGGATGCTGTTCATGCTGAAGGGTACCATCCACCTGGTGTCACCTCTATTTCCTGTCTCTGTTGGACACAGCCATCTGGGCCTCAGTCTGTTCCAGCAGGCCTCATCTCTGTCTCTCTCTCCCTCTGTTTCCATCTCATACACTCTCCAGCTTTGGCAGGCACACACAGGCACACACACACACACACACACACACACACACACACACACACACACACGCACTCTCCACAGGGATCCAAACTATTACAGTATAGAGCTCTATGCCATCTGTCTGAGGAGGTATGGACAGGTATCAGACAAAAACCCACACGCACGCATATCATATCACCCTGAGCCAACAGCAATATTAAGCTGAGCTCTCCCAGTGTGCATGTGTGTCCACACCCTTTCCAGTGTTTCAAAATGGCCAGTGCATAACGCGCCCCCCCATGTTAATCAGCTTAGCAGCCAGTCAGGAGATTTGACTAATCCAAAACACAACCATGGGAAGAAGCCCACTGAGTGTATGTCTGTCTGTGCAAGTGGTCTTGTCTGACAGTGCGTGGAATAACTTAAATCAGCCTCGACATTTCCAGGCAACACTCTCCTAAAGCAACAAGCATTACCACAATCATCCAAGGCTAGTTTCAAACAGCAAAGGATGGGGAAGAGGATGCCTTTCATGTGCGGAAGCATCACTGGGCGGGTAAAGGTTCTTCCCCGTCTTTATTAGCGTGTTAACACTCGTCATAATCCCAGCGATTGAGCGGCAGCGTGTAATCATTTCTTACTTCTAGATTAAACAGTCATCAGTCGTGCAGTCATCTTCATCTTTATTTCACTCCTCAGTAAGAATTAGCCCAGTCATCACTAATGATTCACAGGGACCTTGAGGGCTGTGTAGGCATGTGCACGTTAAGGCCCCCCCGAGAGGAGTATCAGGGCTTTGAAGCCTAACACAGTGCGTAATGGAAACCTTTCTGTCATTTAATAAAGAGCTATGGCAGCATTTGCCGCACAGGAGAGGGGAAACACACATGCATATTCTCAGCGAGGAAATGCTGCATGATACTAAACACGTGTGAGTGACTCGTATGGATGTCCTTATGCAGCAAAGTCTTATCGCGACACTGCATGAGAAATCAGTG